CTATATGTAAAATCTTGTATAGAACAAGTTTACTTAGACAGCCAACTGTTGTTTACTTAATAAAATTTTGCAAAAAAACAGATTGTTTGTAGAGAAAATTTGGTACAAGTGATCGTTGGGAAGAGTTATGTGATCAGCCCCTCCTCTATATGTTTTAATAATTATTTTCATTTATATAATGCTAATAATTAATATTATCTATGTTCAATCAATAAAATGTTGACCCTGATTAAAACAACATATGATCTAGATAATTTATTAGATTATTCAGATATCTATCTATTTAATTCATCTTATTCAATTATTATCAGCTATCAGTTATCTGATGGATAAATAGATAAACAGTTTATAGATTGAAATTCTATTTAAAACATTATTTATTAGCTTTTAGTTTACTTATACAAACATTTTGTTTGATTACTAAACAATGCTAACTATTTTAAAAATTAGAATATTGATCTTTAAAAAAAAGTAAACTAAATTATCTACTTTTGTAAAATTTTTACAAATAAAGTAAAAAGCTAATGAACCTTTGTAAATTGTTTTTGTAGATTTTATAGCTATATAGAAGTATTTTCTGACTTCTAATATTTTTAACATCAATCTAATTATTCTGTATTCTTAAACCATCCTTTTGGTTTAGATGAACTATTCCAAGAACATCCCAAAACTTTTGCACAGCCAATCAAATCGCAAGATCAGACATAATATAAAAAGTATGCACTTTTTTTAAAAAAATTAGTTATAGCTCAAAATCTTGCCCATGAAACTATCTTTTGCATTATAATAAAAAATTTCATTGTTAAATTTTAATATGCATTATGCCCTATTATTACTCTAACTCTAATTCTAACATTAATATTTATTGTTTTTAAATCTTTTATTTATTTGATTGTTTTGATTTTTATATTTTTCATGTTATACCTGATCTCAAAATCTGATTAGCTGATCTGCAGAAAGTTTTGGGGTGTTCTTGGGGTTAGTTCTTTTTGGTGACGATACTGGGGAAGATGCTTTAGCTGACTTTCAAAAATCGAAATCGATTCTAGATCGTTCTATTGAAATTTGATTGGCTGTTTTTGCTAAATTCGGTTACATTTTGTGGCTTTTCGCAATAGCTAACATGACAAATAATTTTATAAAATTGAATGTTCAAAGTTTCATGATTAACATTAATCCCATCGGGATCAATCCTTTATTTCAGTGTGTATAACAGTATAAAGACTCAAAAATTATAAGTTTTACTATTCTTTTTACAATTTATTTCGCTGATTAAATGTATACCTCAGCTTCCGATTCGTGTAACCGAAGTAAAAAAATCACTTGATCTGCATTTCTTTACCATAAAAAGGGCGTTTTTGGTAATATGCCCAACAGCAATTTTGTTTTATCGTGCTTTTCGCATCCATTACTACATTTATTATACTTTCGTACTCATGATTTTTGAAAAGTTAAAAACTATTACCACATTCGGAGGACGTCTAAAGCGGAGATAAGTTATATAATTAATATTTATTGAATTCACTTTAGTGTTAGGGTCATCTTATATTAGGGTTTGATTAGTTTTTATGAACAGGAGGAGCTGTCGAAGTTACACGACTGATCCTTCACCCGGTGTACAGCATATAAAAAAAATAATTTTACAATACCAGATCATTCCGCTAGTACATGTTATGATTATAATCCCACACCATTTTATTATAATAAAAATGGTGTGGGATTATAATCATAACATGTACTAGCGGAATGATCTGGTATAGTAAAATTATTTTATTATATGCTGCACACCGGATGAAGGATCAGTCGTGTAACATCGACGGTTCCTCCTGTTGTTTTTAGGTAGTTATATATATGCACAATTGCCTTCCTGACATTTTTGATTAACCTACCCAAAGTAGGTTTAGATTGCCGTTTTTTGTATATTTTCAGTTTTCTTTTTCTTGCATTGCTTCGCCAGCGATCATCAAATTTCTATAGTTTGATTAGCTAATAGTCACATGATTTATCTCCGCTTTAGACGACCACTCATTTGTATATTTATTTTCTTAATTATTAGAGGATAATAGAAAAACTGGTTATTGGTCGCTAATAAAACTAAAACTTTTTCTTTTAATTTTAACAGCACAATTGAATTGATATTTTAACTCTTCATTTGTATCTTCGGTATATCTCTTTCTCATTCCAATAAAAGCCCGTTCATTGTGTTTCAGCATAGAAGAAATCGTATTTTAACGGGTTATAAGATTTATATGATTGGCTAATTTATGTAGATCCATGCGTGACTATTGACCAATCAAATCAAATTAAAATTTTTTCGATACGCGAAATGAAGCGAAATAAATTTATTAATAACAAAAGCGAAGTTTTTTTAAAGCTAAATTAATTCTAACCCATCTTTTAACTATTATACTTTACCAAAAACATTGTCATATGCTTCCACCTTTGGATTATACTCTCAATTAGACCACATCACCAAATTTACTATACATTAGAGACTATACCACCCACCCAACCTGATTCAAATATTATCCAATTAAATTTAACTACAAAAATATATAATCTGATCGAATTACAAACCCACACCCCCTAAAAAATCTGCTGATTTCTGCCCCCCATCTGTTTACATATATATGCTCTTTGTTCGAGTAAATACTGAAATAACCCTTTTAAAAGCTTTATATTGCTTGGCCTATTTAATAAATGTGTAAAACCTTATATTAGTATAACCTTCACGTTTTAACATTTTATAAATCTAAGATTCGGCTTAATAATTTAAACGTAGTAGAAACTCAATAAATTCTGCTAATTGCCAAACGTTTACCTTTATTCTTATGAAACTCCGTAGGGAAAGCGATGAAACGATTAGAAAAGATTTTCTACTAGAAACACTCTAAACTAAGAAATTTTATTAATAAATATGATACCTTTAGTTTAACTTATTATGGGTAATCGGATAGTAAAATTGTCGGTTTTTAGACTACAATGATATATCAAATTTTCAATTGTCCATATAAATAGTTCGTGTAACAATGATTTCGGAATCTATCGGATACGAGTTACTTCTATGCTTTGTGTGTCTTTAACATTTACGATTTTAGTTAAATTCGGATATGTTCTTTCTATTCTAAGTAACATTGGGCTTCGACTTTCGGACATTTCGGTAAACCAGATCCAGTCCGGAAGTACTTTCGGTAGACTTTCAATTTTGGCAACTACCGAAAGTATCACTTTTTGAGTCATCCTTAGACAAATTTTAGACAAAAAAAAAGGAAGATATGTTTTATTATATGCTTAAATAAAGATTACTAATAAAATTTTTGGTATGGTTCTGACCAGATTTTAGGATTTGGACGCAGGCAAACTAATTTTATATTAGATCTGGATTTTGTCAGCAAGACATACACTTGACGTTCTCTTTTTTTTTTTTTAATAAAAAAATTTATTTTGCATTCAACTGGTTACGGTATAAAAAGAAAAAAAAAAATAGATTCTATTTTCTGAAATGCACGTACGTACGTACTTTAAAAACTGCATAAATAACTTGCCAATCACCGTTATATGTAAGTTTATAAGCTACTTCAGTACTTATTGGATCATAAGGGGTGAAACCTTTGCAAATTATCTAAATCTAGTAATAAACTTCGACAAAAAGCGCTGTACTACGTAACTATTTTACAGTGCAGAAAATCAAAAAACGTTCAATAGGATTTTAAAAAATATGTTAGACGCCATATTTTGCAGCCATATTTTCGTAGGTAATACAAATTCCTAAGAAAGTACAGCCAACACTAAGTACGACATAGAATCCAAACATGTGCGAAAGGAAAGAAAAAGAAATAAATGAGAAAATACTTGAAACTGATGTTTAAATCGACCTTGGCGTATTAATTTTTAAAAATGGAGAGAACAAACTTCTGAATATTATAAGCAATAACCCATTGATATGGCTTCTAATACCAATGTTCTAACCTAAATTTCTGTCTTTAAGCACTTAAATTCCTATTTTGGTTAGTGTCACTCTTGAAAATAAATAAAATCCAAATTTCTGTACGTACATGTCAATCTCAAGTGAAATAACTTTGTGTAATTATAATAGAAGCAAAAATCTATTTTAATATGGATTGTATCATTAGTAAAAAGCAATAAGTTTATTAAAAAATTTTTTTGCCAAAATTATTCTTTGCTGAGTTTGTATCACTTTTGATAAATCATAAATAAAATATCGCATATTTTTGCTGTCCGGTATTGTACATGCGATAAATTGACTGCCTTTCACTCTTTTTTATATTATCGATTATTGTATTTCATCTTTAGACATTTATGAAGCAATATGTCGAATAATCCTCTGTCAGAAAATAATTGGCAAAATATAAAAATAAATATTATTGAATCTCAAAACGACCAAATACGATCTTCTGCGCAAAATAATACAAACCTTAAATCTCCGGATCATTTAAGTCCTCTATATGTCCCTCGTTGTAATATTAACCGCTCAGACTTATCAAATCTAAAGTATTTAGCTAAAGGTGGATATGGTGAAGTTCGAACAGCAAAATGGAATGAACAACTTGTAGCAGCAAAAACTGTTGATCGTAGAGATCCTAGACAACTAAAAGATTTTGAACGCGAGGTTTATTGAAAAATAATATTTTAAATAGGTGTTAATAAGCTACTCATATTTTTCTATTTACACTTAGTTGAGAGCATTGAAGAAATCTAACGATTGTAAAGAACTTATTCAGTTCCTCGGATTATCTGAAGGTGAGCATATATTCACTAATTATAATACCCCTCATTAAGTCCTCATTTTTTCACTAAATATATAAATTTGAAAAATGCAGTACTAATATCTGTGCTAATACTTATTCAAAAATTCTTTATTAATTAGGCGATAAAGATGGAGAATATATCATAGTAATGCAATATGCCGAAAGCGGAACTTTAAAAGATTATCTTGAAAAAAACAAGAATAACCTAACAATAGATCATAAGATTTCTTTATGCAAAGATATTCTTGAAGGATTGAAATTTTTGCATCAAGAGAATATAATTCACAGAGATTTAGTAAGCTTTTATTATTATTTTGTTCGTTAGAATTAGTCATTAAAGTAACCCATTTAATCATTTGACAA